ATTTAATTTAATTTAATTTAATTTAATTTAGTTTAATTTAATTTAATTTAATTTAATTTAATTTAATTTAATTTAATTTAATTTAATTTAATTTAATGAGATATTGTGCAACATGATGAGATCAGACAGAACACATGATGATAAGTCAAATAAATTCTACTTTAATATAATTTACGGTTGTGTTTCCTGCAGGACAGATCAACAGAGAACATGAGAATAAATGTAAAGCACATGAATAAAAGTGGATAAAATGACTGAAATATAACAGAAACGAGGACAAAAGGACACGACAGCCACTGATCCAGCATCCCGATGGTTCTGATGGATTCTGCTCTATGACGGGATCAGAAGTAAACGGACAGACGAACATCTTCCATCAACGTTTGTTCATCAGAGGCTCAGCTCTCTGGTGAACAGATGAAGCTTTGATTCAGCCACAGAGAAACGGGAGCATTTTGTGGGTTTTAGGGTTTTAGGGTCGGTGCTTTGGGTTCAGGTTCAGTTCTGTACGGAGCTCCAAGACGAACATCAAGCTGCCGACATGGAGACAAACAAGAGCTGGTTTGAAATATCACAAACAGGTTCAGAGGAAGGAGATGCTTCACAAAGAGGAAACTTCAGAAAATGAGGATTCTGTCTAAAAAGACCTTTAAAGCAAGAAAGCTGCTTCTGATTTAAACTGAACACGACGGAAAATCACCCGACTCCCGACCATCGACCCGCTCAGCAGCGTTCTGGTTTTAATTAGTTTGAACAACGATGTTGTTTTTACTTCTCATCATGTCGTCGATTCAGAGTTTGTGAAATCGGTTGACGAGCTGAGACAAGACGTTTGTAGCTCTGGGGTCAGAAATGGTCTCCATGTGTAGCTAAGATCACATTTATCATTTCAGAACCACTTTGTGACGTGAACCGGGTCAGACGGAGCCTCTGTCCTCTGGTTTGGTGTCGTTTCTCTGTGAAATCCAAACTCACTGTCGTATTGATCCGTGCGCTGAAGGACGGATGTGAATTGATTCTCCTGTTTGATGAGATCTGAACTCTGCTTCGTGTTCTGCTCACATTAAACTGTGAGAACATGAATATTGACAGGACGTGATGGAAAACTCCAGAACTCTCCTCGGATCAGACCTTGTGCTGATACAACTATAGCGTCCATGTTTCAGCTCACCCGCAGTCAGAGACTATTGGACCAACGTGTCCGACAGGTTCTGGATCAGACACGATGAGAAATCAGAGGGAAGGTTTCAGGTTTTTATCTCTAACAGCTCCTCAGATGTTCAAACAGCCTCCATGTGAGCAGAAACCTGCAGAAAGTGGGTCGATGATGATCCTGAAAAGTTTTCCACGTATTGAGCTCAAGTTTGACAAACACCATTTTGAACATGGTGATAACGTCTGAGGTGAATCAGAGCGGGTCGAGGCCTCCGATGGTCTGAGACAAATCTCAGCTTCAGTTTCAGAAGCTTCAGACTGAAGCCAGAGCTGCTCAGCGTGAAGCCGAGTCATCAGTTCTGCTGCTGAAGATCTGAAGACGGACTGACCTAGAAAACGAGCTGCAGGTTGTTGGTGTGCACGGCGGCTTCACCTCCGTGTCGAGTGTGAAAGTGGGTCGCCGATCGGCCTCGTCATGCTGCTGGTCGCTGTGGTTTCAAGATCAAATGCAGTAAGAGACGGTGTGACATCATCGGAGGAGGTCCGAGCCTGGTGCCGATCGGGATAAAAGCCTGCCCTTCAGCCCAGTCCAGCAGACCACCAGCGAGGAGGAAGAAGAGAAACACCTGCAGCTCCGCAAACAGCAGCCTGACCCGAACCTCCAGCAGAACCCGGGGAGCCTTGGACCCGAAAGAACCGGAAACCTCCACAAGACCTGCAGCAGACGACAAAAGTCGCCCGAAAAAGACCCGACGAGGACAAAACGGAGAGAAAAGACGAGTTCAGCAGAATGTTTTCAGCAGCAAACTCCTGCAACGTGACGGTAAGAACAGAACACGTCCACGTCGGGTCGGGTCGGGTTCACAGATAAGACAGATAAATACTCGTTTATGTGTTTGGAAGCTGAAGGGTGTGAAACAAATAAAAAGAACTAGGAACAAATCAGTAATGAATTCCTGAAACGTGTCTAATCAGGTTTTACTGTCACAGAGTTTAGCTTCATGTCAGGTTTGATCTAAAAATGCTGCTGAACAGGTGGAATAAAAAAAATCACAGATAGGAGAAGTGTAAAAGTCCTTTATATAAATTCAGATACTATTAAATATTATGTTAGAAAAAACATCTTTTACAGACGTGTCCTGTTACTGTGGAAGCTCTGATGCTCAGTGCGCTGCTTCCTACCTGCTGCTGAGCTCCTGTTCAAAATGATCAGCTCACTTTACAGCATGGGTCATCACACAGCACTGAACCGGGTCAGGTACGGACCTGACGGGTTCAAACAGAACCCAGTGATCCAGAGCAGCCTCTGGACTCCCTGTGAGCAGCGCCGGGACGGAACCAAAACCCTCCACAAAAGCTCAGCTCAGGACATGATGATCTGCTTTTTTCTTTAAACCTCAAATATAAACAACTTTTCCTCCATTTAACTAATATTCAGACTTTGTTCTGCTGCCGTCTTCATTGTTTAATCTTTTCATTGATTTAATTTATTTCAACGGGACATTTGGTTGTTACAGCACAAGACAGAGTCACCACCATAAAGACCAATAAACAGGCAAAGATAAACCATAAGAAAATATAAAATGTAAAATGTACAGTCGGTGTAATATTTTAAGGAGAGGTTTTCATGTCGTTTCTGTTCCTTCCTGTCAGAGTCTTTTATAAACTTTCACGGCTGGTTTTTAGGACGTTTACGGTAAGTTATCGGTCGTTTTACGGTTTCGTGACCCGTGTTGTGGCTCCGCCCCCTCAGGCCGCCTGCCTCGTGGCCATGATGCTGATGATGATGATGCCGGAGGTGAGCGCCATGCCGAAGGCCTCAAAGACACACAGGAAGTCGTCTGACGGCGCGCCGCTGGACACGGTCCCCCTGCAGCTGGACTCCGACACCCTGGTGGTCAGCGGGAACATCCGGGTCCTGGCCAACGACTCCATCTCTCCGTGGACGTACAAGTGGGTGACACACCGCTATGTTGTTGATGTTAGCGTGTTCTTGGCGTGTTTCTGACGTGTTTTTGACCCTCGTCTGCCTCCCTCCGTCCTCAGCGTGTCCAGCGACGACTCCCTGTTCCCTCCGGTTCTGTCCGAGGCCCGCTGCCTGCTGCAGGGCTGCCTGAACTCTCACGGCCAGGAGGACCACGAGCTGGAGTCCCGACCCATAATGCACCAGGTGATGATGCTGCGCCGCATCAAGTCGACGGGGGCGGAGTCTAGCTACCACTACCGGCTGGAGTTCCGCCGCGTGGCCGTGGGCTGCACCTGCGTCCGACACGCCTTCATAGTGCAGCAATGACGAGCTAACGGTTAGCATAGTTAGCATCAACTAGCTTCAGTATGGAGACCTGAAAAATAATCTGCAGTAAATGAACTAATCCTGATGAGCCCAATCACAACAGATTATTTAGTCAAAACGAACCAATGAAGAGACAGAACCCTGTCGTCACCACAGAACATCTAAAAACAGCCAAATAGTCCAAATACAAAAACCTTCGAAGGCAGAATTCAGATTTTCAGTTATGAGGAGCTCAGAATTACCACATTTACTGAATTATCAGATTATTGTCAAACCAGATGTGTCGCCGACATGCTGCTCACTGTTGAACCTTTCATTTCTATACATTTTTCAGTTTTATTATGATTATTAGTTCATTTAACTGCAGAAACTGCTCGACTACACGCACCCTGGAGCTGAAGTTAAAGCAAACAAAGTTATTTATGGTTTACGGTTATTTATTGAAGGGATTTATGATCTCCAGCAGGTATTTATTGGTGATGTTATTTTAATGTATTTATATTGACTCAACAATAAAGAAAAAGCACATGACAAAGCAGTAAAGTGTTGTTGTTTTATTGTTGGATTTAAAATATAATGTGATTTCTGTACATTGTCGTCGTCATCGTCACATCCGGAGCCTGTACAGTGCAGCTGTAATCACCGAACACACACTCATTCATTCATATCTGCAGGCTAATGCTAGCCTCAGGAGCTAGCTAGCTAGTAGGCTAGCTGTTTGTTAGCACAGCGAATGAGTCGTTAACTAACAAACGTGCGCCGTCGAGCCTCAACCAGGTCACACATAAAGGAGATACAGAATTCAAATGCTAGCATTAGCGCTAAAGTTAGCACACCGTTGACAGTCGGGAGACAAACACAGAAACATGAGCGCTGGGCTGCAGAGTGTTGTTTGTGTGACTCGCATTGATGTTTTCTGTGTTTTAATCGTCTCAGTTTGATTGTTTTGGACGTTTACAGGGTCTCATTTAAAAGTTTTAGTTTTTTGTTTGGGCTTTTTAGCCTTTGTTATAGTTTAAAGTGGAGCGAGAGACAGGAGCTATGGGGAGAAGTCTGGGGGAAGGACCTGCACTAAATGGTCATGGCCGGACTCGAACCCACGACTCTGCGTCGGGGTCTACAGCCCCTGATAGTGGGTCGCCCGCCCAACCTGCTGAACTACCAGGCATCCTAAAAGTTTTCATTTGAACTGGTCTTTGTTTAACCCAGCACTCGGTTTCTGTGTTTTGACTCGGACTTGTGTGTGTTTTTATCCGGACCTCATGGTGAGATCTTCATCAGAGACTTCCGAGTCCGAGTTCTGGTTGGGGTTTTGACTTTGACGAGTGTTTCAGTTTTAACTCATTTCGGTATCGTCTATATTTTCATCCAGACTTGTTGAAGTTCTTTGTGTTTAGACTCATTTGGGTCTTCTTGGTTCTCTGACCCGGATCTAAGCTGGACCCGACCTGTTCTGGTTTGGTGTCTGTTGGGTCTTAAAGGTGTTTTGACTCTAACTCGACATGGTCTCTATTTTGGACTAGTCTCATGGTGTTTTTATTCAGATTTATCTTGGTCTTGTTTTGACTGTTTTTAGTTCTCTGACTGTCTTATGAGTATTTCGAGCCGGACTTGTTTGGTTTATTGGGTCTCTGAGGTGTTCTGACTCAGATTCCTGCCCTCTTCATTTCCTCTGTCTTGCTGATGCTCTGACTTGGACTTGTGTCGGGTCGGTATATGTGTTCTACTACATGGAGTTCTAACTAGGACTCATCTTGATGGTGTTTTGACTCGGACTCGACCCTGTCTCTGACTCGTCTTATAGGTGTGTTTTTCAGATTAGTCTCAGTCTGAATGAAGAGTTTGGACTGGACTTGTTCTGGTTTGGTGTTCTCAGTGGACTTGTTCAGTATCCTGATGGAGCTCTAACTCGGACTCGTCTGGTTGGTGTTTTGACTCTAACTTGACTCTGACTTTAACTCGACTTGTCTCAGTCTCAGACACTAACTCGCCTAAAACACAAGTTCATTTGTTTGTCGCCTGCTTTTGGTCTTGACTTGATCTCAACTCGGACTCGTCTTGAACTCGACTTCGGTCCCATTTGCTGTTTGTGCTGCGCCTACAGCTGCCACTAGATGTCTCTAAAGAGCTGCATGTTCGTGTAATGATTCAAAGAGTGATTAACTGTAAATCCAGGTCACCGAGTCGCCACCGAGTCCGTCTGTCCTGGCGAGTCGAGACAGTCCAACCTGCTGTCTGTCGGCTGTTTGTCTGGACTCGGTTTATTTGCAGGCTTCCTTTGAGTTGTGGGTCCAGTTGCGGTTCGGTTTGGTTGATAAACACAATCACACACACACGGATGCGTTGGCACTGTCGGCATGGCAACAAAGCACAGTAACACCCCATCTGATGACGACTGAGTCTGCAGCGTCCTCGATATAAAGAGTTCGTCTTGGTATAAAGAGTCCAGGTTGAACCGAGGAGGTGGAGCGCTCGGATTCGCCCTCAGTCCTCCTCTTCTTCTTCTTCTTCTCTTTTCAGAGTCACTTCCTGTCTCCCAGTCGGAGCAGCGCCGGGTTCACGGCACATCAACCAGCCTCCAAAATGGCTTCCAAATAGGGTTCAGCTTGTGTTGTGATCAGGCCATCAAGACACCTGCAGGCAGAGAGCAGGAGGCTAACGTTAGCTCAGGTTAGCGCAGGACAGGTTAGCATAGCACAAGTTAAAGGAGGCTTAGATGGAGACAAGGTGTCAACTGACTCTGACTGGAACTCATCTAACAGGTGTTTTGACTCGAACACTAACAGTCTTCTGGTCTCAGCAGCAACCTTCTAAACTACACTGACTACACTCTTATGGATGTTTAAACTCGGACTTGTCTCCGTTTTACACGTTCTCCTCCCCCGACTTGTTTCAGACACAGTTTTGACCTGGACTAGTCCAGGGTCTGGTGTTTGGACTGGGACTTGTCTTGTGGAGGTTTTAACTCGAACCTTTCTTGATTCCACAGATGATCAATTTTGAGCTCTTCTCGGTTTTGTCGTGTTTTTCTGACTCGGACTCGTCTCATGTTTGACTTGTTTTGATTAACTTTCAAACAGACTTGCTCAGCATCTTTTTGGTGCTCTGACTCGTCTCACAGGCGCTTTTGACTCGGTTTAACCTGGACTCTGAATCTTTTGGGTGTTTAGACTTGAACTCAGCCCAGACTTGATGTATTTCTATTCAGGTTAGTCTCGGCCTAGTCGCTGCTCTGACCTGGACTCGTCTTGGTGTTTTGACTCGAGCACTGAGCTCCTCTTTACCAGTCGTCTGGTTTCAAGTCAAACACTAACCTCTAACCTTCACTGTGCATATTTTAACTTGTCTTGATCTCGAAGGTGTTTTATTTCTAGTCCATCTCAGTCTTTTAGGTTTTTCTGACTTGGACTCGTCTCATTTAGTATTTCTACTTGGACTCGTTGTGTTTGATTTTCAGCCTGTCTGTGCAAAGTCAAAAAACAGTTCCCATTAAAACACCTGTGAACTTTTGCTAGGCTAGCTTGTACCTCTGCTTTAGCATTTATGCTAAGCTAGGCTAATCACCTCCACACTAAACTCACAGACAAGAATGACATCATCTGTTTTCTGAGGAGGTCTGACTCGTCCCCAACATAACAGCTAAAGCTGCTCTTTTTGGTGCCGAGTGTTTGCGTGGCCGAGTCGCTGCAGGTCCTCACCTCCACGCTGTGCTTCTCCTGAAACACACAAACACAGACCTGCGTCAGCGACTCGTGTCCTGAATCAGAACCTGAATGTGTTTTCGGTGGACAAGGTTCTGGTCCTCACCTCCTCCTGCAGCTTCTCCTGCGAGGCGTTCAGGTGCATCAGCCGCTGCTCCTTGTCGGCGTCGGCGCGATGCTCCTGGCGCTCTTTGGTCAAAGCTTTCTGAGCGACTTCGCGCTCGTGTTCCCGCCGCTCGGCCAGGTGCTTCAGCAGCTCCGCCTCCTGGCACTAGGGGGAGCCGGAGGACGCCTTAGTTCTACCAAGCCCAGTCGGTTTGTGTCAGATTTCAGAAAACAGAAGCGGACTTCTTACCTTCCTCCTCTCCTGAGCGGCGTCCAGCTTCTTCTGGATCTCCTCCAGCGAGGGCTTCTGGCGAGGCGGCGTCGTGGCCCTCAGCTCGGGGCCGCCGTCGAATGTGGGCGGCTTCAGGATGACCTCGAAGGCCTGGCCGCTGGCCCGCTTGCTCAGCTCGATCACCTCCATGTCCCGGATGTTGCAGAGGTTCAGGTCGACCACGCCGGCGGCTGCAGAACAAGACCGAGACGTGAGCTGATGTTTGGATCATGTTCAGGTTCAGTTTGAGTTCTGTGACGGTTCAAGGAGCCCGACAGGAGACAGAACAACCGGACCGAAGAGACGACAAACAATCTGTTTGTTTCCGTCCCTTCGTCAGGTTGCTTCGCTCTCGGTTGGACTTCTGTGTCTACTGGTGGAGCTTCATGTTTCTCTGCTTTGTTTTTTGTCTCTTTGTTTTTTTGCTTGAAGTCATTTTAGTTAAAATTGTTAAAATCTCTTGAATCAGTCGACTGCAGTGTTTTACAAACACATAAAGAAACCTGAGCAACAAACATCCAGAAAAGATTTAGAAAGAGAGAAAGTAAGTCTGATTTAAACGGAGCTGAGATCTGAACAAACCCGGATTCAGAACAGAACCTGTGTTTCTGTGAAAGGATCCAGTTTGTGGAACAATCTGAGCAAAGAAACCAAAGAATCAACGTTTACATTTGACAGAACAATTGAAGGAGGAGATCTCTTCACTACGTCTGACTGGAGAGACAGGAAGTCATCAGGTCACAACTCGGACTCGCCGTGATGGGTTTGGACTCGGACTCGTCCTGTAGGTGTGTTTTTCAGATTAGTCTCAGTCTGAATGAAGAGTCTGGACTGGACTTGTTCTGGTTTGGTTCTCAGTGGACTTGTTCAGTATCTTGTTGGCACAGATGTGAAGTTTCATGTTGTTGTTGTTTTTGTTGTGACTGTTTTGGTGTTTGTTGTGTTGTTGATGCTTTTTGTAACTGAATGTGTTTTTTGGGTAAAGGAGGCCGATGACATGAAATTGGTCCAAAAGTTGCTTTAAACAGCTCAGACACCATCAGACCGTTCCTCTGTCTCATTGTTTTGTTTTAACTCAATGAACGAAATAAAAATGTAAATAAATGAATAAATAAATAAATAAATAAACATCGTTGTGTCTCTTTAGAGTCACTTTCTGGCTGTTTTGTGTCTTTCTCTCATATCAGCAGCTTTGTGTCTCTTTGAGGTCGTTTTGTGTGTTTTCTGACCCATCGGGCTTCCTGGCCATCGTGTTCTGACCCGGTGCATGCTGGGACGGACTCTAACTCGCAGCAGAGTGCTCAAGAACATGTTTGATCTCAGCTCTGTCTGGAGGGATTTGACAGTAAGTCCTGCCTCTGCTCTATCTCCACCTGACGGGTATCAGCGAGTCTCTGACCTTCCTTCTTGTCGGCCGGAGGCTCTCGGGGTTCGGGGAGGATGCAGGAGCAGAACAGGGACACCAGGGGGAGCTCCCGCATCTTCTCTCTGTACGCTGCAACACGCAGAGAGAAACACATGAGGAGACGCTGCAGGAAGCAGAACAGAGTCAGCGAGCAGCAAACGGTGGAGCTTTACCTGCCAGAGTCATCGTGCTGCTGCTCCAAGACACTGTGGTGAGGTAGAGTCCAGTCCTGAGGACACACATGGAGACACAACAGAGCTCATCAGGAGACCTGCTGCAGGAGCCACACACAGAAAACTGGTACAACATCTGCAGCTTCTCTAAACTGTAGCTCATCAAAATAAAGCAGGTTTTAAACGAGTCTCAGAATATCTGTGGCTGGGACTCAGAGGTCAGGTTTTACTCATGAGGCAGCTTCTCTCTGCGTCACTCCGCCTAAAATGAGACGTTTTCCATCCAGCAGCTGCGACTGCTTCACCTCAGGAGATTAAAATATTCCATCTGAGGTGTGACGGATGAATCAGAGACACGACTCGCTGCAGGAGTCGACCTCCAGACCTCAGCGTTCACCCGCAGCAGCAGGTTTGATTCACAGACTGACTCATGTAGAAACTCTGACTGTCCTCTCATTAAGTCATCTGCAGAACTGTTTCCATCGATGGTTTCATGTCTGCAGCATCCAAACGCTGCTGAACGCTCAAGTTTCACTCCCAAAAACACACAAAGAGATTCACAGATCCACATCTATCTCCTTAAACTACAAACACTAAACATCCGACAGGAAACAGAGAAACGCTGCAGCTCCTCACTTTTCAGTTCATTTCTAATAACTGCAGAGAAACTGTGAAAAACCTCATCTGCTGCAGAACAGACGTCACCTTTCAAAGACAAACACGACGTTAAACCTGCAGCTGCTGCACAAACACAAACAGCAGCAGCTTCGGTTTCCTCGACCTTCAACTTATTCAGTGCAGAGACGTGAGCGTTCCAGGAACTCCTTCAAGTCTGCAGAATCCAAACCAACACATTCATCTCCTCAGACTTCATCCTCAGCCTGAACAAGAGTCCAGGAACACAAACAGCTTCGGCTTGTAAACAGACAAAAGCAGCAAATCTGCACTTTTCTCACATTTGTGCAGTTTTTCTGCAGAAAAACAGTAAAAGTCTGAATGTGTTGTGAAAAACAGCAGCAGCTTCTCCACTGTTTCCTAAAACTCAAACAAACCCTGAAGTCCTGAAATCACTTCTGATTGTCGGCATCTCTGTATTTATTTAATCATCTACATCTGCAGCCTGCAAACACCCACATCGATCATCTGAACAACAAACTGCAGATCAAAACAGATGAAAGTTCAAAGCTTCTGCAGAAAAGCAACTAAAACATGAAGCTGTTAAACATCCTGAGCTACCTGATGTGGTGACTCTGGGTGTGTGTGTGTGTGTGTGTGTGTGTGTGTGTGTGTGTGTGTGTGTGTGTGCACTCAGCGATGATGTCATTGTTGCCAGTAAACGCATCACCTTCTGCAGAGACGAGCAACTCGCACCAAACACCAAACTCAACATGAAAGCATCAAAAAACAGCAGAAAAAGACGAGACCAGCTGAAACAAAAGATGCATTAAAGACAATAAAAGCAGGAAAACAAAGAGAAGCTGCAGATGAGTGGACGTGAAGCAGAACCGTTTGGACCACCTTCCACCTGCTGAAGCTTCACTTTGTTCTGAGCTGCAGACAACAAACAGCACCAAGAGGAATAAACCAGGTTTAAATGTGATGAGCAGAAACTCACCCTGCAGCGACGCTCGTCTTCGTCTCTCTGAAGATCTGCAGCTCAGCAGCATCAGCACCACACAGCAGCCGCTGCATGACATCACCACGCAGCCCTCTGATTGGCCGGCAGGGATACAGGGCTGTGATTGGTCCAGCAGGGCGGAGGCAGCAGCAGCAGGAGGAGGACGAGGAGGGGGAGGATGAGGAGGAGGAGGCTGGTTTCAGAGGAATCCTCCTCGTTGCCGACTGAGCGGAGGATTTTACTGGAACAACTTAGTGAGTTACTGGAAACAGCACGAAGCACGAAGCACTCAGAGAACAGACGGAGGAGGAACACCTGGACAGGCCTCACCTGTGAAGTTCTGATCCGAAGCAGCTCAACACTGAGCCACATGAACGTCTGTGCAGGTGAAGAACTGATGTTTTCTAGCAGAACATCTGCAGATGAAGCAGCTGCAGCTTCCACTGAGCTCAAAGAACAGTTCTGGTCAAAAGAAAAACTGAAAACACAGTTTGAGTATCTGCAGCAGGAGTTCAGCTCATTTCTGTCTCCAGCTCAGTGACTGAAGCCGGTTTGACTCATTAAATACAATAAATGAAGCTTCACAACTTATCACAGCCACAGCTAGGCTAATAGCATCCTACGCTAACCACTAGCATCTGTAGGAGTAACACAAGCATGCCTAGGATAACAACACATTAGCATCCCTATGCTAATGACTAGTATACTTAGATTAATAGCTAGCATCCCAAATGTAGCAGTTAGCAATTCGAAGCCAGTCACTAGCATATCTAGGTGGCAACAAGCATCCCTTGGCTAGCAACATGTCACTTGCATCCCTACACTAATGACTAGCATCTGTAGGAGCATCACAAGCATTCCTAGGCTAGCAATATGCCACTAGCATCCCTATGCTAATGAGTAGCATACCTAAATTAACAACTAGCATCCCAAGTGTAGCAATGCAAGGCTAGCCACTGGCATATCTGGGTGGCAAAAGTTGTTAGCATCCCTCGGCTAGTCACTAGCAACCACACAGTAACAACTTGCATCCTTACGCTAATGACTAGCATCTGTAGGCTAGATACTGGCATCCCTAGAGTAACAGCTAGCATCCAGAGTGTAGCAGCTAGCATTCCCAGGCTAGTAACTGCTAGTGCAGAACAACCTACAGAAAGTGTAGCGTGCTAAGCTAGCAGTTCCTCTGTGTTCAGAGCATTTTAAACATCAGTATCACGGTCAGTCTGGTTCTTTTATTTGTGAGAAGCTAAAATCATGGTCATGTTGGTTTTTTGGGGTTTTTTTCAGCTAAATCGTTCTTTTCAGTTTCTGTTGCTGCTGATGTGCAGCTGCAGGTCAACCAAGGCTTTTATTTAAAATTTTAAAAAACAAAAACCCTCCCAGAACCCTTAAACCAGAGCAGTGGTGTCGGACGGACTCCTTGTAAATGTGTTGTTGTTCTGTTATGTTCTGGAAACGGTTAAACGAGTCAAAGCAGAACTTAGAAACGAGCTGCAGAAGAGTTTGTGAACCAGAGAAACTCATCAGACAGATTAAATGATGAATGAGACGTTTATCTGCTGCGATCCGCCCTGTTCTGGCTCCTCGGGTCGGTGTGGTTCTGAGGAAATGTCAGCGCTATATATAAAGTCTGACTACGACGTGTTGCTCATCCTCAGAGCTGAACGCCTCCATCTGTCGCTGATTCACAGCCAAACAGTCTGTCGGCCTCGTTACACCGACTCACTGAGGAGCTGCTGGAGTAAAACGCTTCGGTACTGATCCGCCCGATCAGAACCATCACCGGTCAATAAATCACCAGAAAACTGGTCACGAAAGAATGAAAGAGGAGTCAGAAAAACCAAACAGGTGGTGTGTCGGGGCAGAGAGCAGCTCCAGGACTGCAGCTCCCATGATGCACTGCAGCAGCAGAACACAATGTCCTCACAGGTTCCTCACATGAACCATGATGTAATGCAGCTGCAGTGCGTGAGTCCTTCTACCTCTGTGAGGACCGGCGCCACACATTCTCACCAGTCACACACACGCGCTGGAGGAGAAACCGCTGAGATTAG